TCCGGACCCAGGCTGCGTCCCCAGCGCCGCGGGCGAGCGGGCAGCGGAGGACCGGCCCCGCCTGCGGGCCGTGTTCGAGGCCCTGGACGGCGACGGGGACGGCTTGGTGCGCGTCGAGGACTTCGAGCAGTTCGCCACCGCGTACGGGGCCGAGCAGGTGAGCGCCGCGCCGCCGTCCCCGAGGGTCCTGCTGAGGCCGAGGCCGGGTGCGACCCTGCTGGCCCTCCGGGCTGTTTGTTCCCAGGGCTCCGTCCCCCAGCTGCTCCTGGGCTGAGCCCGGGCCCCCGCGCCCCCGGGCCGCCTTCTGGAGGTGTCCCCTGGTGGTCGGGGTTCGGCCGGGCTGCACCCCGGGCCGCGCAGGCACCGGGCGGAGCAGGCACCGGGCCGAGCAGTGCGGTGCTGGCTGGGCTCTTGGTGCTCGGGGCCGGTGGGTGCCTGTGGAAGGCCCTCTGAGTGCGGGTTTCCCCCCTGGACCTTCCGTGGGTGAGGACGGCAGGGACGGAGCCTGCAGCCATGCGGGGAGGCGGTCGAGCGCCAGCAGGGCCCCCACGCGTGGAGGAGGCGGCCGAGGGTGATGGCAGAGCGCAGGGGATGTAGCCGCGCCCGGAGACCCCCGTGCTGGGCCTGCACATCAGGCCTCCCGAGAGTCTCGGCGCCTGGGAAAGTTTGAAAACCCAAAGGCTGCCCAGTGCCGCTGAGTGTATGGGGCAGGATGGAACTGCTCCCCGGGATCTCCAAGGCTGTGGGTCTTTATGGAAGCGCCGCCTCATCTTTCTCCTGCAGAATGGCTGATGGGTTCGAGCCGACCTTTAGCTCCTGGTGCTTTAGGCAGGGCACCAACAGAGCTGCAGCTTGGGGGCATGTGCTCTGCTAGTCACTCGGGGGTTAGCCGGTCGGTCACCCTAGTGCGCTTCTGAACGTTGAACGTGGTGGGAAGGTCCTGATGTGCACACTGCCAGTTTTCCTATTTTACTGCCTTCTCAGATAGACAGACATACGTTAAGTGGGTGTTCAAGTACATATGTGTGTCTGAGCCAAGAGGCCCTGTAAGAAGAGAGGTAAAAACTGACACTGTGCTGGTAACCTTTACGAGGAGTCCTGAGGAGCCATTGAGTCCCTGCTGAGCAGGGCTGCTTGTTGAGTGACAGTCCAGGACGATGTGTGAGCATCTGCTTTCGTCTCATCTTGTCTGTTCGTTTCCGGAGCATGTGGGTGCCTTCCGAGCTGCTTCTCAGCAGGTCTCCCATCTCTCACTCCAAGGGCTAAAGAGCTATCTGACCGACAGCTTCCTGTGTGTTTAATGTGCATTGTGGCTGTGGGTCTGCATTCTCGCCTCTGGTCCCGGGAGCATCTTGGGCATCCTTGGTGGCTTTACTACCGTGATGGGCCTTCTTTCTCCAAACACATCCCCTTGCTTCCCTGCACCAGTTGAAGGCTTTAGGAAAGCATCACATTGTCCTCCTCTGCCTTACCTGGTTTGACGTGCTTGTACAGTTTCGCAGGATCCTCAGCACAACTCGGAGGTGGTAAGTAGGCAAGTAGGCGAGCAGGAGCCGTCTCCTTCACAGATAAGAAACCGGAAGGTCAGAGAGGTTAAGTCATTTTCCCAACCTGTCTAACTAGTCCGTGCCAGAACTGGGTCTACAACCAGGTCTTTTCACTTTTACACCTTCTTACATAGTTTCTGCTTCTTGTGTTTAACTTAGTTTCTCAGAAATCTCTCTGCAAAGCTTTATCTTATGACTTCCACAACATTCTCTTCGTCTGAGAAACACGTCTTGTTGTAACCTTCTTCACTGATCATGGTGGGGAAAGCGTTGGGTGGCTCTTGGGGCCGAGCTTCCTTGTCACTACAGAATAGAAACGGGTCTTTGCTTCTTTGGTCTGGCAGCTTGTGCTGGTGTTTGAGGCAGATGACTCAGGGTTTGGGGAGGTGGGAGAGTGCAGGAGAGCTTCTGTGGCGTTGTTCCTTCGGTCTGCTCCTCAGGCTGCTCAGGGAGAAGGGGTGTAGAAGAGATGCGGATGCTGGCTTCGGGACTTTCCTCACTGAAACTGGTCCTGGGGGTGGAGGGGAGTGCTTGGCTTCTCTGAGCCGCCTGAGTTACCATTTCAGAGTCAGTACCAGCAGGGCAATGACAGGTTGGGTTTTGTGTCTGTTTAAGGCTTACTAGCCCTGGTGGGGGAGTGGTTAAAAGTCGGTGGTTTGAACCCACCAGTTGCATCACGGGAGAAAGATGCAGTGGTCTTCTTCCCAAAAGATTGACAGCCTTGGAGACCCTCTGTGGCAGTTCTACTCTGTCCTCTAGGGGCGCTGTGAGTTCTGACCGATTTAGTGGCAGCAGGGGTGGTGCTGGTGGCCATCGTTGTGATTGAGGCTTCTTTTTCGTTAGTCTGGTGAGTACGTGATGGAGGAGCATGTTCTTTATGAAGTACTCTTACTGTGAGGGAGTTTGAGAATCTGCTTCATGATGATTTTTACATTCTTCTTCAATGGAAAATCTCAACTATAGAGGTGGAGACTAGCTCCATGAACCCAGAGCCACCTTTAGCCCACTCATTTAATCTGTCAGCTCACCCGCCTGCCCCCCAGATTATCTTTGAAGCAAATTACTGACACGAGGTCATTTCATCCAGAAATGCGTCAGTATATTTCTCTAAAAAGATAAGGATTCTTTTCTTAGCGTTCATGACTGTTTTCAAACCCTAGGAACAGTTCAGATAAAACAGCAGTAAAGACCTTAGGTTTTTGTACTTTCCGCCTTGGGATTTCAAAACATTGCGTGCAGGAGACTCTTAGGCCAGTCACATTCCTGTCCTTGATGAAGCAATTACGTTATCTTGATATGTCAGATTTTCAGAGGTAGCATGTTCGGCATCGTCGATGGAGTCTGTTTATGAAGGTAACGTTCTGAATTATGTAAGTGTATTATCTGAATTTTTAATAGAGGCAGTTTCCATTTATAACACAGATGGCTTTTGTGTCCCTCTTTCTTTAGCAGTGTCATGGTGTGTGTGGATTTTATTACCTCATCTGGATGAGGTGTGGGGTAATGGAACAGTGTTAGCAGGAGGTGACAGATGAGAGGAGAGAGATGATAGGGCAGCTCTTTGGTTGTGTCTTCTTGGAGCAGGAATCTATAGTCAGATATGGCCAGGTGTTAGCTGTGACTCTGGGAAAGTTAGGGCAAGGCCCTGAGCGTTTCTGAAGATTCCTTGTGACATGACCTCTTCCTGCTGAGAGGACGGATGCTTTGGTTGTCATCACCAACCTATCATAAAGCAGGAACTGTGAAATTAGTATAAGAATGTTGTGAGAAAGGCTTGGTTTCTTTTTGTTTTCTGTTTTGAAGGAATTAAGTATAGTCTTAGAGCATGCCTTCACCTTTCATTATCATGCTGGTTTAAGCATTTGTGTGTTGAGGCACTGAATGCCCTTCATTCCCCTGGTAGTCAGCGTCTGTCCTCGTCAGTACTTATAGAGGTGACAGCTATAGGAGGTGTTGACACTCAGAAGGTCCCCCGCTTTTCATTTGTACACCTCCCCTGGGGGTATGTGGAGGCCCTGGGACGTTGGGCTGTGCGGTTGAGTTGTTTCAAAGCCCTTTCTTGTCTCTGTTCTAGCCTTGAAATGGGGTGTGTGTGAGAGAGAGAGTCGGTGTACATGGGGAGCTGGTGTACATGGTGTGTGGGGGAGCTGGCGTATGGGAGGGAGAGAGGGTATGCGAGTGGGAGTATGTGTGTGGAAGTGGCATGTGTGTTAGGGGTGTGTGTGTGTGTGTGTGTGTGTACATACCTACCACTGAGTCGGTGTGTACACAGACTGGTCTGTGTGTTGGTTGAATTGCTAGAAGGCAGGTGAGTTCTTTTCTGGGTTATGATTGCAGGCAGTTTTGTGAGTGTCTTAGGAAAAGCTTTTTTCTTATTATAAAAGTAACATGCTCATTACTTTAAAAACCGTAAGAAACAGAGTGGTATAAAATCTAAAATGACTAGTAATCTCACTGTCCTGTAAAAAATAGCATTAGTATTTTAATACACTTCCTTCTGAGTTTCTGTTGCATATACACACATGGCCATGTATAAGATGACACAATTGAGATCATGCTGGGTCAAAGCTTAATTATTTTTACAGTAGATGTTCTTGGCTTTGATAAAACAAAACTAGATGATACAGTAAGAAAAGAAGAGAGCCAAGAGTCACTTACAACCCCACCATCCAGAAATAAGGACTGTAACCATGTTGGTGTTTTCCTACAGAATGTGTGTATGTAAATTAAAATATATGGAATATTTACTTCATGGAATGAAAATTATATAATTCATATCTTTTGCTTTGATCGTCCCTGTAGGTCCAAGATTTTTTAACTTGAATGTCTCTGATAGCAGGTGTATAGGTACTTCAGCGGAAGCCTAAGGTTTACTTATCCCTCAAGAGACACAGAATTGTTAGGTCTACCATGTAGGAAGGACTTCCTTCTGTCTAGGCTGTACTGAAAGGTTGTAAAGGGCACTGGGTTTATGAATTGCTTCCCTTCCAAACACTGTTTAAGTTCTGGAAACTCTGTGTGAGTATTTAATCTAAATATTAGGTGTAGGGGCAGCAGTGTTTTGTTGTCATGTGTGGAGTTACCATGAGTTGGGGGCTGACTCACAACCACAGTAACATGCAATTATGTAACCCTTAAAACTGGTAATCACAAAGCTTTCAAAGTGACTTACATTAGCACTCATGATATGAAGAACAGAGTGGTGAACAACATTGTACGTATGCGGTTATAACTATGTACAAATTATGTGTGTGAAAACACTTGGCAGTAGTATAAAAAGATAATTTTAAGTGGGGGGTGTTTGGGAGATATGTATGTGTTTATGTATGTGTGTTGGGGGAGATCATTGTATAGGAATGAGTGTGATAGCAATAAGGTTGGTTTTATTTAGGGTAGTTACCAAATTTTGTATTTTGTTACTAATTTTACTCTATTTTTCGAAGTAATACCTGCACAAGCGCACAGTACACATGTCAAATAGTACAAAAGCGAATCCAATAAAGAAACTAATTATAATTACAATCTTTAGAAGTAAGAAAAGTAAGTAAACTATAAAGGTGAAATATTTACATGTTTTAGTTTGACTCAACTGGAGTTTTTTTTTTTTTAA